GTGGAGATAGATGAAGTTCGTCAATCTGTAGACTGCTAATTAGCGAGACGGTGCTGAGCTTTATGGAGAGATCCAGTGGACTGCGTGAGCTGATGCTAGAGCTTCAATCAGGGACCTGGAAGTTTGGATAACACAAGTTGAGAGAACCTGTCAATGATGAGCAAGCATGAAGTGGCAGTGGAGAGGAAAAACTCCCTGAAACCTCTGGCAGAACCAGGCTCAACAAGGTGGTCTTCTGCCGGACCAGCTGAAATGAGACACGGAATGCAGAAAGAGTCCTGGAGTAATGAACTCTGATGAAGTTTTAGCTACGATGGTGGAGGAGGTGCTGGAGGTGGGTTGAAACGGGTCATCTGTTGTAATGTTTGTTGTCCAGATGAACACCAAGGTATTAATACCACTCCTCCACCTTCACTTATTCTTCAATGATTTTAATGGAATTAAACTTGTTCCTCTTCCTTCTGAAATCTACAGTCATCTCCCTTGTGTTCACATTCAGGATCAGATGATTGTTTCCACACCATGCCAGAAAGCAGTTCACCAGCTCCCCGTACTTAGCTTCTTGTGCATCTTTGATATCTCTAATTACTGCAGAGTCATTGCTTACTTTTACAAAGTCCAGTCATGTGCTTTTATGACGAAGATCCTAACAGTGTTTGAGTCAGGAGGTCATGACTTCTGTAGCTTTTGCTTGTGTGTCACATGTGATTGATTCATTATTTCTCTATAAAGTTAATTGTTTTAATGGCTGTCTTTTATTTCAGTCTACGTGTAGCTTTTAAAATATGCCGGTAAGTGCTTACTAAATTAATAATTCAACATAAGATTAAACTGTAAAACTGATGACAGGAACATTACAACAGTATGCTTTAACCAGTTTGATGGAGGTTAAGATGATGTACTGTTAATTAACTTAAAGGATAAGGGAAATAATAAAAAATTGCAAGTATTTTTGAGTTTTTGTCATTCATTTAAAAAAAAAAACTATAACTAAATAAAAAAAAATAAGACACACATTAAGGCAGATATTTCATAGTATGCACTCAGCAGTAAAAAGGGTCATAAAAATTGTGAAATTTGGGGAAAATATAGGCCCCTCCTGCAATTTATCCAGTTAATTAAGAGCAAAAAATGTTGCATCAGGTCATAAAACAGAGGAATATGCTCTGTTAAATAAATGAAAATAAAGTTATACCATCAGAGCAGAGTGCTTGTTGTAAATAAAATTATGAATTAAAAGTTGTATTTATATAGCAGAAGCAAAACTTTGAAAGACTTGATAATGCCAAAATGAGTGTGACACCCATGCATTGGTCAGTATGCAGCATATAAACCATTTCTGTTAAAGATAGTAGATACTGACATTACTTTTTAGAAATATTCATACCTCTTCAATCTTTTTGTGTTTTTCTAGTCGGTCAAACAATAAAATAGATTTAAATTAGTAGTTTAATGTCACAAATTTGGGGAAAAATATTTTTTCCAAATTTAAATTTTGGAAAATTACTAAAAAATTTAAGCAACTTTAAAAATGTAAAATAAAAACGCTAAAATATATTAGTTGCTTACAATTAATGTGCCTTTTAAACAGCCATAAATGTAATAAACATTGAAATCATAATTATTTTGCTCAGTTGGTGAAAACTGCATTAGAGTTAAGAATGCTAAAACCTCAAACAATATGCATTTCACTCACTCTAATTTTAAACTTGTTTGCTTATCTTTGCCGGAGGGGATTAGGGACACTGAAAAAGTAAAAAAAGTTGATGGATTTTTTTTATTTTATTTCAGTTTACAGTTTTTCTGGATTGTTTACACACATTTCTGAAAACATGCCTCGTATTCTCAGAACTCTTCACACAAATCCAACAAACACACACACAATGGGCAAAACCCTTCAAATCTCCTGCAAAATGAAACTTTACATTCAAAACAGTTTTATCTCTTCACAAAAGGCCATTTTGTGTTCAGATGACACACACAAACTATCATATGAACAGACAATTAAAAAAAGCATTTAAACACTGATGTGCTCAGTGTAAAACACCATTCTCCATTCATCATAATGACTTTTTGTTCAGTGTTACACTTACTACGGACATTAAATACATAAGTGCGTTGTAAAATACTTTAGAATATTGTTTTTATACTCAGAACACACAAATATACTGTAACAAACTATTTTTGCCACAAAACAATGTACACAGTGTACATCCCAACCGACACAAAGTTGCACATACAGTGCAGAAGATTTTACTGTATACAGTTACAGTAATAATAAAAAAAACAAAACAAAATAAACTATGCTGCATCCTCTCTTCTGTTTCGGTCTGGCCACAGCACCTCATCTACATCACAAGCAATGTTTTCCCTGGCCAAGCAGCGGGGGAAATATCGCCTAGCATGGCGAATCCAGCCATGAAAAGCATCAACTGCTATATCTCCACATGCGTCTTCCATAGCTTGGAAAAGGGGTATACGCGTTTCTGAATTTAGGTCGTACACTTTCCATCTCCAGGCAGAAAAAAATTCCTCAATAGGATTGAGGAATGGAGAATATGGAGGGAGATAAACAACTGAAAAGCGTGGGGGGTCAGTGAACCAGAGCAGCCCGGTGGAAGCTTACGTTGTCCCAAATGACAACGTACCTGAGCTGCTCTGGGCCGTCTATCTGATCTGGTGGAATGAGTGTGTTGTGTAGGGTGTCCAGGAATGTGATCAGATGGGCAGTGTTGTAGGGGCCAAGGGTAGCATGGTGATGGATGATGCCATGGTGGGTCATCGCTGCACACATTGTGATGTTCCCTCCGTGCTGGCCAGGGACTTCAACAATGGCACGCTGGCCGATTATATTCCTTCCCCTCCTTCGTCTTTTTGTGAGGTTGAATCCAACCTCATCAATGAAGAAGAACTGGTGCTCCACTGCATCCACCTCCAGCTCAAGGACTCTCTGAAACACACATGACAATATCAGAAGTAGACATGGAGCGGTCACTATTGTGAAGCACAATCATTATGATTACAATATAATAGAAAGAAATATGTATGATTTATACAATGTTGACAGTATGCATCAAGGGTGGGAATGTATAGGACGTACTTGCACATAGTTATATCGCAATTCTTTGACTCTTTCTGAATTGCGCTCAAATGGCACCCTGTAGACCTGCTTCATCCTCAGTTTATTTCTGTGCAAGACACGGTCCAGCGTTGATAAACTTACCCTATCAATATTTTGAAATATCTCATTGTTTTCTATTGTTTTTCTTTATATTTGTCGTAAGGTAATGGCGTTATTTTCAAGAACCATGTTCATGATCTCTCTTTCCTGTTCAGGAGACAGAAGACGGCCCCGTCCACCTCTTGTTGGTAATCTTTCAGTTCTGCAATACAAAGAGTGCAATACTGTAAATACTGTGTAGGACTACATTTCCCAAATACTCGAAACACAATGTCCTACAGAACAGTCCACAGGTAATACTGTACTACTGTACTCATTGAGTACTGTATTGATATGCAGTACTGCAGTTTTGTAGTGAGAGTAGACATGGTCAACCAAAGTGGCTCGGATCTCATCAGAAATGATTGTCCTTGGCCTTCCTCGTCCTCGTCCTCCCCATCATCCTCCTCTTACTCTCACTCCTCTGGCTCTGGCTCTGCCTCTGTTTACAACATTGGCCTCCATTGCTCCAAAACAGAAGAGCTCACCTGTTGCCCTTTTATGCTAAAGCTCTGATTGCTGATTGGAAACATGTGTGTTAGGTGTTTGCCCATGTGAGGAGTCAGTGTGCATAGTAGGGAAATTAACTTTAGAGTTTTGAATAACAGTGTGTTCCTTGTGAAAACAAAAGATTTTCTTTATGACAATTGTGTGTAGAGTTTTGGAAAAAGTGTGTTTTAGAACTGCAATTTGAGTGTAAAGCAGGAATTGTGCTTGTAGTTTAGCAGAATTGGTTCAGGGGGTTGGTGCATGAGTTACATTTTGTGGTCATTGTGTTTCAAGTACCAATATTTGTGTGTAAACAATCAAGAAAAACTGTAATATGGGAAAAAAGTCAGAATTTTGACTTTAATCTCAGAATTTTGGATCTTAATGTAGATGGGCACCATGAAGGAAGAAATGTGGGAGCACTCAGCTTCACTGACAAAAAATTCTTGGGAGGAACAGTAACTCACTGGTGGAAAATGGCGCAATTAGGCAACTTTTTACATGCCAGTAGGTTCCCAGGTGATGCTATTTCATTAATAGAAGAGCTGAAGGTGATTAAAACAAGAGAGCTAATCTCTAAAACAGACATGGCTATGGCTTGATGCTAACAGGCTTGTTAGCTGTCAGAAAAAAGTCAGAATTCTGAGATTAAAGTCAGAATTGTGAGAAAAATTAAGAATTCTCTGGTTAAAGTCGGAATTCTGAGATTAAAGTCAGAATTGTGAGAAAAAAGTCAGAATTGTGAAAAAAATAGTAAGAGTTATGCGATTAAAGGCAAAAAAGTGAGAAAAAAGTCAGCATTCGGAGAAAAAAATGTCAGAATTGTGAGATTAAAGTCAGAATTGTGAGAAAACAGTAAGAATTATGTGATTAGAATCAAAAAAGTGAGAAAAAAGTCAGCATTCGGAGAAAAAAATGTCAGAATTGTGAGATTAAAGTCAGAATTGTGAGAAAACAGTAAGAATTATGTGATTAGAGTCAAAAACGTGAGAAAAAAGTCAGCATTCTGAGAAAAAAAAATGTCAGAATTGAGATTAAACTCAGAATTAGAGATTAAACTCAGAATTCTGACTTTTTTGTTATTATACTCAAATGAAATTTAAAAATCAATAAACTTTTTTATTTTTTCAGTGGCCCCAATCCTATTCCGTAAGTTTCGCTTTGAGTTGTGTTTTCTAGTAACTCTTCTCGCTTATATTGAGGACTATAAACAAGGGGGAGGAGCTTTCTTCCAATATAGGAGCGGATCTGGTGACGTCACTCGGAGGCCAGCGCCCCTGCGTACCACACAAGTTGCAACACGCGCTCCTTAAGCCATCAGAGGAGGAGGGGGAAGCTACGACCGTTATGGCGCAGATGCGTTGAGCTGTCACTGGTTTACCGAGCAAAACCAAAACATTACCGGGGAGACTGCGAGCCTACGCGCCGTTTAAAAAACAACAACTAGTGAAGCGTATCTCTACACATTATGCTGAATTTTATCCATTTCTGCCACTTCTGAGAGCCGGAGTTCGCCGAAGGGGAGTGTCGGTATAGCGGAGTTGACAGTTAACGGCTGGGGCTCAGCTGACATTTTTTATTATTTCGTATTACTGCCGTTTGAGCACCGAATGACTGGAAACATCTGAAGCTAGCAGAGGCAGCCCGGTGGGAGCTACGCATCGATCCCTCCGCTATTTTTGGTGAACTGTCCGAGCAGACGGAGCTATTAATCAGTCGATAAGAGCTCAGCATGGATTCATGAACGGTATCTGCTTCTGAATTTCACATGCCCCGTTGGTTTGGTTGTTTGTAGTCGGATATATTCAACAAAAATAATGTCAGACAACCAAAGTTGGAACTCCTCCGGCTCTGAGGAGGATTTAGAGCCCAGAGAGGAGTATGGACACCCTGCTGGTGTTGTAGAGTTCAGTGGAGTACTCAGTAAGGTAAGCCATGTTTTAACCTAAACTTAAGCTAATCAGCCATGGATGGTTTAATTTTAACGGTTCAGGATGGAGTAGGTTCACATCAGTCATGAAGAGGTTTGACAAACCCTTTTTTTTTTATTGCAAAAACAAAAAAATAGCATACATGAATTACAATTACAAACCTATACAACAACAAAGGGCTTTACAGAACAGAACTGTTATGTTAAAATGTCAAAATCTAATCTATGCTCGATGGTTATAATTCTTTAAGGGCAGTTATAATTTGCATGGCTTTTAACTAAATTTTAAGGATTCTATATAGATATTAATAGAAGATAATACAATCTGGAAATTAGGTTTTTGTTGTAAATATTTGGAGGTGTGAACATATTTACCATAAATAATAATAAAAAAAAAATTATATCATATGAAAATCCTGTTTTGACAAGTTTACATTTCTATATCCCAAACAAAACACCCTTATCTGTTAAAGTAATGTTAAGATTTTTTTTGGATGAATAAAAATGGACATATCTCTCCAGAATATTTTGGTATAATTACAATAAATAAGTTTTTTTCATTATTCTATTACAAAAAAAGGTTTGACAAATGCTAGCATGCCTGTTTCTGGGCTGGGTTATCTCAGATGCAGGCTGGTAATCCCCATCTGATCCCAAAGCAGAACCCTAAAAGAAACACATGAGCTGTCTGTGTAATCCATACTTTACTGCTCTGCGTCTTCAGAAGAACACATCCAGCATCTTTTTTTTTTTTTTTTTTTTTTTTACCTTAAACCTGTTTCTCCGGGCTTTTAAGATCGATTTGGAAACATTTTATGGGACATGCTAAAAAAACAGAGTAAGAAATAAAGAAGTATGTGTGGATAATGGACAAATGGATGGGTGATGGTTATTACATGGATGGTTAGTCTTAATAAACATGAATGATGGACAGATGAATGTGTGGATGGTTGAGAAGGATAATGGATGAAGGAGGGATTTCTGATGGACAAACTGGATGAGTGTAAAGAAGAGAAAATCAGATGGATGTTGGATAGTATTAAATATTATGGAATAATAAACTGATGATGGATAGTTATAATGTTTAGAGTTAAGCTATGCTTTTCCAATCCTTTACAAAGTTTTTTAGCAGTTCAATATAAAAACTGCAGTGTCACAGATAGCAAACTGTTTGGACACAACAGATCTTAATTTAACTAAACTTGAGTATCATGTTTCCCTAGTCAAATTTATTCATACTTTGATGTAAAAACAAATTGTAACAACAAAAACCCACGCAGAAAAGACTAATTCTATATATGAATAGAGGGAGTGTCCAAACCTATGACTCAATCTTTTATATTTGCCAATCATGTGGTTTCTGTGCTGATTAACGGCTTATTTTGATATCTGTTGCACAACTGTGTCTCATGTCAGCTGTACATACATCTGAAATCAGTAAATGGCCTCATTGGTCACAAATAGATAGTTTGAAATGTTGCTTCTGCTCTGTTTTTTTGCACCATGCATTGTGGTAACCTCTTTTGCTGTTCCCTCCCTTGTTTTAGGCTACATTTTCTGCAGGGTAACCACAGTGTTTAGGTGATAAGCTGTTAGGAAGCTAATGTGGTATCCTTCTAAGTGCACACAGATGATCTCTAAACAGATTGCATGCTGACCCGCTAACCAAGCAAATTGTAAGATTAAACAAATCCACATTTAGTAAGGCTCACCTGTTTGCATTATACACGTCATGACTACAGAAAGGATTGATGATTGTGCACTGGCGTGACTTTTCTGCCCTGCCATGACTTTCTGAGAAACGGAGCCAACTCTCGTTCAAAAGCTTCAGTTGTTCTCGTCGCAAATGTAAAACATTACAAATCTGTTAAACTTTTTCTCATTTGGTCACAATAAATCAATATCATAAAGATTTCTTACTAGGCTTTTATGTTTTAAACCAATGAAATGGTGAAAAACCTTGAAGTGCAAGGAAATGGGTAGTTTGATTTCTTAAAAAAAAAAAACAGCAAACAAATCTGGTAAAGTCTGGGTTTTGGTTTACTTTAACAATCCCTTTTTTAATTAAGTTACTACTGCCAAATCTTTTTCGGTGTTTATGTGTATTTTTTGTACCCATCCTTGCACTTTTTCCTGATTAACGCTTTTTTAAAGCTGCTGAAGAAAGTAGGGAAGTCATATTTAAATGTCAAATCATTCTGGCTTAAACATGTATATAAATGTACTCTTTATAGGATTATATTTTCCCTAAATTTAGAAAATTTCTGTTTAAAAAAATCCTGTCTTAAAATCGTTTTTTTTTTTTTTTTTCATTAACTGATTCAGGCCAGTTAGTTATACATCAGCCTGTACACCTAAATTAGGCCGATCATATATCAATTTCCCATTGGGAATCTACTCGCACAAAGTTCTTAACTGGTTAGCAAGATGCTTCAGAGAAACCGGCCACAACCAAACATGCTTGTGAACCTTCCGCCACAACAACCCCGCCCTCTTGATAAACAACCAATCAAATTCACTTTATTCACTCGTGTAAAGTCATGCACTACTCGGGAGAATTCAGAAATGCAAGGGTTGGCACAGCTGCTGCCCTACGACTTTAAGCTCAATACTCCCATCACCATTTTCATGTGATTAAATCATGTATTTAAAGTGGTGCAATAACATTTTTGGATATTGCTATTAAAACGTTAAACTATTTATCATTTTCCTTCACTACTTCTCCCACCACCACTACTACTTTGTGTTTACTTTAACAAAACTATCAAAAATGTAACATATTAACCTTTAAAAAATAGGTCAGCCCTACCACCAGCCTTGGTTAGCTTGGCTGTGAGAGGTTCAGACACCAACTCCTTTCCCCTGTCTGTATCCCCCAGAATTCCATGCGGCTCTGGGTTAGAGTTAACAAACTTATAACATTTCCATTTGACATCATTTCTCTTTATAGAATTGTGTATCTATTGCCATATACATTGATATTGTTTTGTTGCCCAGTCTTAGGTTAAACTATTTTTCTAGTATAAAGTTGAACACAAGGGGTGTAAAATGCTGTAAAGAGTGCAGCTTCCAAATATGCTACAACGTACCAGTCGTGTGCTCTTAAGCTGCGCTCAGTGAACTAAAGAGTTTATTTTATATGTTTTTCTGCCTCGTTTTGAAAATTCAGCTGTATTATCTGTCAATATTTTTTCTTTTTTTTTTCTCAGTGGACAAACTACATCCATGGCTGGCAGGATCGTTGGGTTGTGCTGAAGAACAACACCCTGAGCTACTACAAGTCTCAGGATGAGACAGAGTACGGCTGTAGGGGTTCCCTCTGCCTGAGCAAAGCTGTGATTACGGTGAGTACTGAAGGGTTATAAAGGAAGCAGTGTGCTGGTAAAGATTCTCAGTCAGCCATAGTCATTCTAAAAAGTAAAAAAATAATCCACTAGACTTTGTTTTCCAAGTTTAAAGACGTTTCGCTTCCCATCCAGGAAGCTTTTTCAATGCATAATGTCTAAATTAGTGTTGAGTTCCAAGCTTTATAGAGTAGCCCAACAAAGCCTTGTTTTGGCTTAAAAACATATAAAGGAAGCAGTATTTTTCCATACTGTGCCTTTAGAATGCCTTGTCAGAATAGTGTAGAAAGTTAGGATTTTGATCCTAAACACCATAATTAATTTGGTTTGAGCAGGAATTCTGCTTCGTTTTTTTGGCCAGTTATACATCTTTTGCATTCTTAAAATCCATTTATGTTTAGATGTTGACCAATGTTGAATCCATCATATACAGTATATCATCGTGGCGTCCCTGTAGCCTTTTATCTGCCTCCCAAAAGCATAACCCTGCATTTTAAAAACAGGCAGTATGGGTCTGTTGTCTTTGTCTCATATCCTTTCAAAAATACAATCTAATCATCCAGAGTTATCAGGCTTTGGAAGGTCAGAACAGAAGCTAGTTCTATGGAGGGAGTTTTGTTCCATTATTATTGAGAGTAAAGAATATGTTTTGTTAATTTTAGATAAAAAAGAAAATTTTGAATTCTTTATATTTTCTTATTTTATTTTTCAAATTGTATTGTTTCAAGGGAAATTTTTACAAAAAGATTTAATATTTAGTAAATTAATTTCAATTTGTGTTTTTCAGATTGAGTTTACTAGTTGAATTTTTTTCCTTTTGAGTTTCACAGATTTTCTCCTTGCCTCTAGCCCAATATTGACCAATAAGATGTTGTTGTTAATGTCCATGCAGGCCAATAGAAATGGGTCTTCACTCCTCCCTCCAGAGAAAATTCCTCCCCCAGAAGTGAAGGGAATGGCTGTGCCCAAACATCCACCCTAATCATTATATAGGGAACTATGAAGTGGTTACACCATTTTAGATGAGTGTCTGAGCGTCTGTTGGATGAAAAAATAGAGGACTCGAAATTTACCACAATGCACCTGGTAAAGTAGTGATCATCCATGGTCACTAGACAAGCAGATAAATCCCATCATGCTTTGCGAGAACTCTCCTCGCCAAGCACCATGGAATTTGTTGTGGCAGTGAAAAATAAGAAAGATGGCGCAAGCACTGTGTGGGCAGGCGGAGTTAAAATGACCAACGCGGCACAGAAAGTAATGATCATCTGTCCGAACGGTCAGTTAACTTAGTTCACTATAAAGCTCACTAGGGATGCACGATATTGGGATTTTGGCCGATATCCGATATGCCGATATTTTAAAACTCATGTAGCCGATAATCGATATCGATACCGATGTTAAAGCTGGACAAAAATAAGTAGTCATTGAAAATAACAGTTTTGTTCTCCATTTCTGACACTTTAAAAAATAATATACTCAAATATATTTTCATATGCTGATATCGAATTGATTTTTAAAAACGCGGTATCGATCTATTTTACTTTCAAAATCTCGTGAAATTTCATCGTTCTGTTACAAACTCTCGTGATATTTTGCAAATTCTTGTAAGATTTTGTTAGTAAAATGGATTGATACCGCGTCAATATATCAACATATAAAAATATGGCAAAATTTCGTGAATTTTCGGGGAATTTCGTAGCATAACGATGACATATAGCAATATTTCATTAGTAAAAGAGATTGATATGGTGTTCTTAAATGGCAATATATCAGCATATGAAGATATTGTGATATTTTAATGTATCAATATTTTTTCCCTTGTCTTTAGAAGTTTTTAAGTCTGTAAAAAAAATACGTTTTTGAGGAAGAAGTAGTATTTATTTTTTTTTTTTTAGACTTTAGAAACTCAGAAGCTGATCAAATATCGGGTTAAATATCGGTGGGGTGGCCGATGTCCGATATTCAATTTTAAGGCCGATACAGGCCGATACCGATAGGGGGCCGAATTATATCGTGAATCCCTTAAGCTCACTATATCTTTTCCGCTCTAAATTTAGGGATTTAGGACGGACATTTGGACACAGCCAGTTGAAAAAAGTGAAAATACAAGATAAAAAAAAATACTTTGAAAGACAAATTTGAAACAAGAAATCTATGAAAACAGCCAATTTAGTCTCACATCAAAGTTCAATTTCCGGATTGCTTTTTTTAATTTTTTTATTCAAATTTCAATTGACCAACTGTGTTATTTCTATTTTATTTGATTACAACAATAATGGAAAAAATTCACCCCATAGTTTTCTGCTCTTGTGTTTTAATTCGATTTTCAAAATGCCATTAGTTTCAGTGACTACATACCAAGTCCTCCTGTTTTTTTATTTTTTGTGTTGCAGCTAAAGCTGACAGTCAGTTCAAATTTAAAAGCTGTATTGATTTTTATGTTTTGTTGTATTAGAATCACAAACTTCAAAGCGCTCTGATGGGATTTTACAGGCAGGACAACAATGCAGTGCAATAGATGGGGTCGGCCTTCTTTACTTGGATAAACTTCTACCAGTGCAGCCAGTTTCCCTTATTTGTTTCCAGTCTAATAAATCCACTAGCATGTGATTCTTCTCAGGACTAATCCTGTTTTTGTATGAAGGCCTCAGAGGTTTGTTAGAGATCATTAAGAATCGACTAATGAACTCGGCACACAGGTCAAAGAGAGATGTTGGGTTGGGTTATATATATATAGGGCTTTTTGTACATACAGGACCACCATTATATGTATTACACAAATCTAACCTGTATAGAGGAGTGTCATGAAAAAGAGTTCAAAAATCCATACTTAGCCATAATGTGTCAGTGTCGGTTTATAGCTTCAAATGCCAACAAAGTCTGTTTAAGTATGTAGTTGTAGATTTCTGGCCACTGTAGCCATCTTTGATTTTAAATGCAGTTATTTGAGGCTATGATGCCAACAGAGCTGCAGGATATATTTAATCAGTCATAATCTGTATTATGTATTTGTAATATTAATTTGCAGTATCATAAATGCAAAGGACTGCATCAACCCTACATGTTGCATATTAATATCAGTTATCTGGCCTCTAAATTTCTATACCTGAGGATCATTTTTACTAGTATATATCCTGGACAGTGTTAGGAATATTCTATACAGGTAAAGGACAGGGAATAATAATAAAGGATGTTTATTCCCAATCCGTTTCCCGTGTCATGCAGTCTTATGTTGTCATGGGGATTAAAAACTCCACTTGTTTGGATTTACAGAATTGGCTATTGATAAACCAGCCAAATTATGCACTGCAATAATCTGCTTTGTTGAATATTTTTTTCTTTCTGCTTTTCTAATGGCCTTCAGAATTTTTAAAAAGTGGCACCCGGCTTTTCTTCTGTTGCGGGGACGCTGCTCTTTCTGACTTTCATGGTAAAAAAAAAAAGTCTTGAATCTCAGATGAGAATTCTCTCAAATGGCAGATTATGACCTGCGTTTCTTCTACCAAGGAATCTTGCTGGTGTCAAAGAGTTCTGCTTGATGAGAGAGGCAGTGACTGTTTTAGCAACTAAACAGTTACTCATGTGGTAACATTTTGTTTGGAAACTGCACCCCCACCCCCATTTGTTGTGATACGGCATGAGATAAAGCTTGAATTATAGCAGCAGACTGTTAGATTGACGTAGCGATTGAGGCTAAGCCACACAAGCTTATCCTGTCATGGATTCTGTCCTACATTTCCAAGCATCCAGAAATGTACCTAAAACTAGTCATCAGTTTACTTCTGGCTGTTCCCTGACAGAAGCCCAGGATGTGTCTTTTTCCAAACAGTAATAAGTCACTTTTCCCAGGCATTGGAAAGCAGCCGGTGTTATTGGCTCTGTTTGTTCAGCTTTATCCATTCCCAGCATATGTAAATATTAACCCCCATGTGATGCTCTGCGGCCCTGACTTCTCCCTCCACTTGTTGTCGTTTAAAGATGTTTTTTTAATGTAAAAAGTGTTACGTTTTTTTTTGTGGTTTTAGCAAAGGAGGTTTAAAGCTTTTATGTGTGACTTTCCCATGTCAAGACCTCTTGCTTTGCAGAAATAGTAGAAATAGATTTTTAAATGAGGTCAGTACATTTCCAAACAAGACAGGGGTTCATGGGAGTTATTTAGGTCAGAGGTTAGTCACTTTGAGATTTAAGTTGGAACTCTAGAGCTGTGGAAAAAAAACAAAACAAAAACGGCTTAGTTGTTTCTTGTGCTTATTTGCAAGGCATTTTTTTTTAAAATTAAGAATAACTGCTTAATGATAACTAAGAATTCAAATGAACTGACTAGAAGCATCACAACCTGTTGGTAGGAAGGGCCTCCTTCCTGTGTAGGATTTCAGAGGTTGGTTTGTCCTTTTTCATTTTTTTCTTTGGTGTGATTGTGAGTTTTCCTACCAGCGCAAAAAAAAAAGCCCCAAAAAAGTGGGTTTCTAACTGCCACCTACAAAGCCTGACAACCACCGCTGCCATTTTTAGCTCCACAGCCAGTTAATAGGAGTACACTGGCCTACTTGTAACCCCCCCCCCCCCCTTTTCTGGAATTGGTGAGTAACACAGGCTGGATCCATCTTTAGCTGATTCGGCCTGGATTGTTTGGACTTTTCTGAGGCAGGATGTAAAAATCAGCCTTTTATCCTTGAACCATAAAACATGTCTGCATTGGTTAAATAGATCAAATGAGATCAAGCTGAAGTCAGATGGGGCATTTCAATGTTTTTCGGGACATTTGCAACATGTCTTCTGCCAGGAAATATGATTGTTCCTCATAGCACATGACTTCCCTCTCAACAGGGGTTATGAGGAGGGTCAAGATAAACAAACCTTAGTCTGAATGTTTGTGTATGTAGATTGCTCTGACATGGCCGTTCATCCTTACTGATGTAGCCTTCCCTTTACCCTTCTTTTTCTTTGACCTCTTGGTGACTCATTACTTCATTTCTGCACTGCTGTACTTATCCCGA